CACTGACTGGCTCCAATATAAACACCTACACTGTCACTTACTGGCTCCATTATAGACACCTACCCTGTCACTGACCGGCTCCATTATAAACACCGACACCATCACTGACCGGCTCTAGTATAAACACCTACACCGTCAGTGACCAGCTCCATTCTACCAAGCAAAATGAGCTGTCTCCAAGGATAACAGCAGCAATGACAGCATCTGCATAGATCATAGATGATGCTGTGACGGGGTGCCTTATGTGGGAAGAGTATTATGGAAATAGACAGAAAATGTAGGTTTTTAAAAGTCATATTATGAAGTGTGTCTTATATTAGCATAGCAGCTAGGCAAAAGCAGATTGCAGGATTCTTAGTTTGTCTGACTGATTTTTTGGCTATGCAGGAACTCAACAGAAAAAAATAAAGCCAAGGAGAGGAAAATGCACCCAAACCCCACTGCCCTATCCATAACTTTTATAACTGTGGGCTATAATCTGTTTGGACTCTTTCAGAACTACAATTTTTATTTCAGAATGGGCTGGTAAAGATGGCTGGTTTTGGGGTCCCTGGACTCTCAGTCTGATGTTTCCAGTAAAAAGAACTGGTGCACTGTCTCAAATATACAAGAAGCACATTACAGAATAAAGGCAGTCTCTCCGAGACCCCCCTCACTGCTTTTCTGGCTTCAATAGTGGCTCATTAACTTCAACCCAACGTGACCTCAGTAGGAGCGCTTTTACAAACTGAATGGTGTTAAAAAGGGTGTTTAATTCAGCCTGCACAGTGCCCTCAGCACAGAACAACCGCAGAAAAGGCAGCCACATCCTCACATTTAAAACATGGAGACTGCTGCATATTAAAGTCTCTTCCTTTACAAGTCGATCTGTACATAAACTTGATATCCTCACGAGGAAAACCACAAGCAACTAACTTTGAGGCGTATTGTAAAGTCCACCTGAGGAATCTCCCTGGACTAACCCTTCAGGAGTGAAAAGATCTGCTCCAATGGGCCTATGTTCTGATGTTCTCAAAGATAAGCCGAGCACGTGAACCATGAATTAGTCCTATAATTGGTAATTGGTAGAACTGCACTTTAGTCTGTAACTGCACTTCAGAGGTCTGAAGCAGAGTCATACTGGACTCGAAATGTTAGCTCCGTTTCTCTCTCTATAGATGCTATGACACATGTTGAGTTTCTCCAGCATTGTGTGAAGGGAGTGTGCACTTATGTGCGTGTGTGTTTTTATGTTCGGTACTAATCTGACTGGATCAGGATTTTATATTTGCTATAAACCAGACTGGATCAGGATTTTATGTGCGACTAACATTGCAGAGGATATCAATTAGTGCTGCGCAATGTTTCAACAAAACATCTTTCCTTTTAAACCATGGAAATTGAGATGGGTTTAAATCCCGGAAAATGGCGACACAACTAGATAGGATGATAAAAAGGGCATCTGGCATGCTTGCCTTTATTGGTCTGAGAATTGAGTACAAGCTCAGGACGTTATGTTGCAGCTTTATAAGACTTTGGTTTGGCCACACTTAGAGTATTGCGTTCAATTGTGGTCACCTCATTACAGGAAAGATGTGGAGGCTTTTGAGGGGGAGCAGAAGAGGTTTACCAGGAGACTGCCTGGATTAGAGGGTATGAGCTATAAGGAGAGGCCGTAAAACACGGGTTGTTTTCTCTGGAGCGATGCAGGCTGAGGGGAATTTGATAGAAGTTTATAAAATTATGAGATGTATGGATAGATGTGATGGTCAGAATGTTTTTTCCAGAGTTGAAGTGTCTAATGCGAAGGGGCATGCATTTAAGTTGAGGGGGATAGTTCAAAGGAGATGTGAGGGATGAGTTTTTTACACAGAGAGTGGTAGGAGTGTGGAATACGCTGCCAGGGGTGATGATGGAGGCAGATACAATAGGGGCATTTAAGACACTTTTAGATAAGCACGTGAATACGCAAGGAATGGAGGGACAGGGACCAAGGGCAGGCAGAGGGATTAGTTTCATATGGCATCATGTTCGGCACCACATTGTGGGCCAAAGGGCCCATTCCTGTGCTGCACTGTTCTATGTTCTATATTCTGGGCAATTCAGCCCCTTGAACCTGATCTGTCATGCAGCAAGATCCTGGCTAATCATTGTCTTACTTTTACTTACTAATGCACATTGCCCCTGATATTCCCACCAAACAAAAAATCTTTCCAATCACAGTTTTGACATTTTGAATCGATCCACAGCCTGCAGTGATTTCCCTGTTCTTTGCGTAAAGAAGCCAAGCTGTCATTCTCAGGTTTCAGCCCACATGAAAATGTATTGGTAATTTCTTCAAGTGCCCGGTCTCTCTGACATTTTTCACAGGAAAAACACAAGGCTCTTTACAGGCAGTGACCTGAGTACGGTCTGCACACAGACTTTCAGATCGCTGCACAGTGTAGTATCTGCAGAACCCACAGGGAACGTTGATTTTGGTCTTTTGTACTGGAGTGTTCCATCAAACGAATTAGTTTCTCTCGATCTACCCTGTCAAATCGAATTATCTCAAAGACCTGAATTAGATCATCCCTTAATCTTCTATTCTGGACAATACATCTTAATACCAGCAAATTATAGTTTTGACAATCTCATGTTGACATTTCCAATAGGCTACTTATTCTTTTTAGTTTAAACAATCGGGTCACATATCAATGAGTTTCTGTTATCTTTTGGAATTCCTCTCCTATTTTCCATCAATATCTTTCATGGAGGTGGGGGAGAGGATCGGGATGAATGAATGGTGTCCTCAATTTGGTCAATCTCCAGGATATTCCGTCTGATTTTCCAACAGATTAGAGCCCAGATCGGAATTGCAGCTGTAAAGGCTCCTGGATTTGGGACATCGTGTGTTTTCAAAGGACAGTTTAACACAGTTCACCTTGTAACTGCAGTTATCAGCAGGAAATTTGGAAATTCCATATGTAAAAGGCATTGCTACCTACAGCCTCAGTCAACATGCTCACAGCTGAGATCTACCTCTTCAGTTTCCTCACTAATTGAATAGAACAGGGTATAACAGGGAGTGAACTGTGTTGGCTGCACACTGGCTTCTTTGGAAAGTGGGAGCTTGTTATGAAGTTAGGATGGGGCGAGGTCACTGAGGAAGTTTTAAAATAAGGAGGAGAATCTCAAAATCATTGCACTGCCAGCAACTTTCCTTCTAAGCTGTGCAATGATTTATGCTGCTCGGAGGCTCTGAGCTTGCCACGGGATGTGAAGATTCAATTGATCATGGTTTCGAAAGTCACCACAGTCCGCATTGAAGAAAGAAATCAAGAAATAAATAATAATGTTCTCTGGTGAGGAGGATTCCACATACTCTCAGGCCTGAGAGAAGAAACAAAATCCCTTGATCTCCATCTTAAATAGAGTTGAAATATTTACACTGCGTCCACATGAAGAGTACATGGCCTCCTGACACAACTGGCTGTGAGCTGACCTCATCCTTCCAGTCACACTCCGAGCCACTCCCTGAGCGACCTGGTGCCAGGACTAATGTTGAACTCCCTGCTAGGAGCTACAGTGATTACAGGCGAACACATGCCCTGGTTTCCCCCATTCCTTACATGGAGCTGTGCCCTGTCATTATCTGAAGACCCCATCCAACATTTTGACAGCAGGAAGTTTCATCATGAAGAATGGTTAATTGTTGCCATCTACTTACTGCGCTTTTTCCCATTTGATCTCTGCGACTGGACGCACTGTTTCACATTTTGAGAATCTAAAAAGATGACAGGAGCACTGTCATGTTGGGTGTGTGTGCGGTTTTAATTACTTTCCGAATTGACAACATGGTTAACTTCACTCATTATCGTGAATAGTGAATGTGAAGTTTGAAGTCTCCTTGCCCAGAGACATCTTCTCTTCAATCTGGCAGCGTTTCCCAGTGCAAGGGAACCCAGGCCTAATTGAAAAGGCCTTCACGGAGGTTTAAGATAGGATCTCCCAGTGATGAAGAAACTTATGAATGGCCAGAAAGGACCAAGAAAGCTGCATTTTGAGGAGCAGAACAAGGTCCACACTGGCATCTGTTTGAGACTCAACACTTTCTTTAAACCAGGGCTTATTCCCTCTGGTCTCTGGCAGTGACTGGCACTCCCATTACATTCCTACAGCTAGCCATATCGGGCTCGATGATTTTGAGCTGTACATTGATGTCAATCGTTTAAGGGAGGCCCTTAAATTATAATCAATCAGACCTCGCCTCCTCCACAAAGTGGGATGGAGAACAAACAAATGAGTCTGACAAAGTATTATTACCTGGAACATCCTCAGGATCAGATTTCACTGCAGTCTCCTTTCTTCCCACCTCTTCACTATTGATGCAATCTGAAAATGAAGTGAATCATATCGGATTTCAGTCTGTTTGCCAAGTCTCAGGCGATAAATAGAAATACAATCGTGCGCCAAACAATAAGTAGAGCCATACTTTCAAATTTATTTTGAGACAAATATTCATCTTCCTTCCATGCATTGTTGACAGTTGACAAATCTGAAAAACACCCCAAGAAATAAAAGTGTTTGATGGACAGACAGACCAATTTAGGAGCCAGCACCTTTGTTTTTCTACATCATATTTGCTCACAGTTTTTTATTGTTGGGTAAAGTGAGAACCTGTCATGCAAGTATCTGTTCATCTTCAACATAATCCACCTTAGTCAAATATTCACAGAGGACATCAGGCACAGACACAAACATAAGCTGTGTTGTTTGAACCATGTTACACTACACTCTAAAGTATAACATTGTTTTGTCTTGTGTTGGATAAATCACATTATGATGTATTGTGTTGCCTTGGGCTTTAATTATTTTTAGCACATACAGATGAAGATAAATCCAATGTTGAAATGAAAGGGCAGAAAGAAAGTACCAAACTGTACGGGCTCTACTTTAACTGCAACTTGAATACTTCAATATGTGGACACCAAGCTACCACTTGAGATATTTCAAACGTCCCTCTCCATCCTTGCCACTTCCAGTCTCTCTCTCTCCTTGTCATTCCCCCACACTGTCCCTCTCTCTCACCCTGTCACTACTCTCCCCCCAGCTCTCTCTCCCTGCCACTGTCCCTCTATCTCCCTGCCATTCCCTCCCTCACTCCCTCTCTGTCCCTGTCACTTACCACTTGACCCACTTAAACATGCTCTTTCCTTCACTTGATATCATCTTTCATCTCTTTGGTTGCAATTGTTTCATTTGCTTAGTGGAACTTTTGTCATTTGAGGTATATACTGTTCCTGGAATAATTTTCCTTTGGAAACATTCCACCTGTTTGTACTTTGCCTGGATAGTTTTGACCAGTTTGCTGTTTTCAATCTCTGACTCATATCTCACTGAAGTTAATTTTATTAACATTTAGGAGCATAGTAATTGTGTTCAGTGTCTCCTCTTCAAACCTAACATGGAATTCACTCATGATCAGTGTTAGAAAAGTAGTGTCGTACAGTTAAGATCATTACCTATAACTGATTCACTACAAAATGTTTAGGTTGTGGAACCCAAGTGCATGATAATAGTCAGAGAGCTCAGATAGACTGGTTATGGTTAGTGTGTGACAACACTCAGAGAGCTCAGATGGGATGGGGATGTTTAATGTCCAATACCAGTCACAATGTTCCAGTTGATGATTAATGATGACTCTATTCACATTTCCCAGAAATTCTTCCATGTTGATGTAATTTTTGCCATCTTTCTAATTAGAGAATTCACAGAAGAGATGAGCCAGGAAAGGAGATGGTTCGATAAATTAAATAGAAAAGCAAAACTTACACTTGTGAATGTTAAACAGCAAAGAAAGTAGATTGATTTGGGTGGCTTTTTTGAATAGACTTTCATTTGGACTTCTGTGTTCAGACCAGGCCATAGGGCTGTTTGCTGTCAATTGGTGTATTTGAAAAGATGGCACTGTTTACAAAGGCAAGAAAGCTCTGGATCAGGAAGCTGCTGTTCTGACTATTCAGAAGGACAGACAGGGAGGAAAGGGAGGTGGTGTAGCTCTGATATTTAAGGATAACATCAGGGTGCAAGTGAGAAATGATATAGATTCTATGGAGAAAAAGGGTTGAATCAATGTGGGTGGAAATTAGAAATTGTAGGGCGAAAATGTTACTGATAGGTGTAGTCTATAGGCCACCAAATAACAACATCATGATGGGGCGGGCAATAAACAAAGAAATAACTGATGCATGCAGAAATGGTATGGCAATTATCATGGGGGATTTTAAACTACATATAGATTGGTCAAACCAAATCGGTCAAGGCAGCCTTGAGGAAGAGTTTATAGAATGTATCCATGATAGTTTTCTCAGACAGTGTGTAATGGAACCGACGAGGGAGCAAGCTATCCTAGATCTAGTCCTGTGTACTGAGAAGGAATAATTGATAATATCATAGTTAGGGATCCTATCGGAAGGAGCAATCACAGTTTGGTTGAGTTTAAAATACAGATGGAGGATGAGAAGGTAAAATCCAATACCAGGGTCCTGTGCTTAAACAAAGGAGACTACAATAGGATGAGAGAGGAGTTGGCTAAAGCAGACTGGAAGCAAAGATTCTATGGTGGGACAGTTGAGGAACAGTGGAGGACTTTCAAAGTGATTTTTCACAGTGCTCAGTAACAGTATATACCAGTGAGAAGGAAGGACTGTAGGAAAAAGGATAATCAGCTATGGACAACTAGGGAAAAAAGGAGGGCCTCACGTTGAAGGTAAATGTTTACAAAGTGGCAAAGACCAGTTGGAAACTAGGGGTTTGGAAAATATGTAAAGGTCAACAGAAAACCACAAAAAAAAGCTTTAAAAAAGTTAGATGGATTACGAGAGTAAACAGCTCTGAATATAAAAGCAGATAGCAAAAGTTTCTACAAGTATGTAAAATGATAAAGAGTGGCTAAGGTAAACATTGGTCCCTTAGAAGATGAGAAGGGGAATTTAATAATGAAAAATGAGGAAATGGTCGAGGCATTGAACAGGTATTTTGTGTCAGTCTTCACAGTGGAAGACACAAATAACATGTCAAAAATTGATGTCAAGGAGTCTATGGCATGTGAGGACCTAGACACAATCATTATCACTAAAGAGGTAGAGTTGGGCAAGCTAATAGGGCTAAAGGTAGACAAGTCTCTTGGCCCTGATGGAATGCATCCCAGGGAGTAAAAGAGATGGCGGGGGAGATAGCAAATGCACTCGTGGTAATTTACCAACATTTGGCGGACTCTGGGATGGTTCCAGCAGATTGGAAACTAACAAATGTGACACCACGGTTTAAGAAAGGAGGTAGACAAAAGATGAGTAACTATAGGCTAGTTAGCTTAACTTCTGTAGAGGGGAAAATGCTTGAATCCATAATCAAGGAAGAAATAGCAAGACATCTGAATAGAAATTGTCCCATCGGGCAGACGCAGCATGGGTAAATGAAAGACAGGTCCTGTTTAAGTAACTTACTAGTATTCTTTGAGGACATTACAAGTGCAGTGAACAATGGGGACCCAGTAGATGTGGTGTATCTGGATTTCCAGGAAGCATTTGACAAGGTACCGCACAAAAGGCTACTGTGTAACATAAAGGTGCACGGCATTGGGGGTAATGTATTAGCGTGGATAGAGGATTGGTTAACTAACAGGAAGCAAAGGTTGGAGATCAGTGGCTAGTAGTGTGCCTCAGGGATCAGTGTTGGGACCACAATTGTTTACTATTTACATAGATGATTTAGAGTTGGAGACCAAATATAGTGTGTCAAAGTTCACAGATGACACTGATATGAGTGGCACGGCAAAGTGTGCAGAGGACACTGCAAGTCTGCAGAGGGATAGAGATAGGTTAAGTGAGTGGGCAAGGGTCTGGCAGATGGAGTATAATGTTGGTAAATGTGAGGTCATTCATTTTGATAGGAATAACAAAATGAATTATTATTTAATGGTGAAAAATTACAGCACACTGCTGTGCAGAGGGACCTGGATGTCGTTGTGCATGAATCACAGAAAAGTTGGTTTGCAGGTGGAACAGGTAATTAAGAATGCAAATGGAATTTTATCCCTCAGTGCTAGAGGGAGGGATGGAGTTTAAAAGCAGGGAGGTTATGTTGGGTACTGATGAGGCCATACCTGGAGTACTGTGTGCAGTTTTAATCTCCTTACTTGAGAAATGATGTACTGGCTCTGGAGGGGATACAGAGGAGATCACTAGGTTGACATGTGAATTGAGAAGGTTGCCTTATGAGGAGAGATTGAGTAGACTAGGATTGTACTCACTGGAATTTAGAAGAATGAGGGGGAGCAGATTTAGGACTGAGCTGAGGAGGAATTTCTTCACCCAAAGGGTTGAGAATCTGAAGAATTCCTTGCCCAGTGAAGCAGTTGAGGCTTCTTCACTGAATGTTTTTAAGGCAAAGGTAGATTTTGAACAGTTAAGGGATTAAGGGTTATGGTGAGAACGTGAATAAGTGGAGCTGAGTTCATGAAAAGATCAATCATGATCTTATTGAATGGCGGATCAGTCTCAAAGGGCCAGATGGCCTAATCCTGCTGTTGGTTCTTATGTTCTCATGTTTCATTTGGGGAGATGATGTTTTAATTGGGAGATTGCTTTGTTTAGATTGGGGAGATTGTTGTACTGGAATAAAGGGGAATTTGTTGCTTCTGTGAAGCTGCAGTTCTTTGATGCAGCTTGTGGTTGGTGTACAGCAGGTAGTAGATTGAAATTTGTCCTGCAGACTTGAGTTCATAACATGGGGAGGATTGTGACGTGCGGATTGAGTTCATTATTGTATGGAAATTCCAAAGGATTTTGCATTTGATTTGAGGATTTGTTTCGTATTGCAGAGGCGGTTATGTTTGATTTAGGGAGTGTGATTTTCCTGGATTGGCAAGGTTGTATTTGATCCCAGAGTTAGCCATTTTCAGATTCTGAAGTGTTGCACATACGGATCGGGGAATTCATTGTATGTGCGTATTCGCAAGGCTGTGCTCTCTGAATTGTGATGTGGGGCTGGGGGAGGAGAATGATTCTCTTACTTCCTTTAAACTTTTGTTTTCATTTATTGTAGACATGATCTGATTGTGATTGGTGATAGCCCAGATGCTTACCAATTGTTTGTGATTTAACTGTGCCATTGACTGGGAACAGCATGCCATTGAGAAAGACACCTAAAGGCAAAATAAAGAAATCAGTTCCCTCTACTCTGCAGCATGTGACAGAAGTCTTGAAGTAACTCTCTGCTCTCAAACCTAACATTAATTGGTCCTGTGTCAAAATGACTGTGACCAAATGCTACGCGTCGGGGCTGTGTTCAATACCTTTGTGCAAAACATCTCCACATTTGGTAACAAAACAAAATCAGTACCTGGCTGAGATTGGCTCAGTTCTGTCCATGGGAAGGCATATCACTGTCACCTCTCCACAGGACACAGATTCCTGATTATTTGAAATGTGCAGAGAGAATGAGCATCCTGGATATTAACTATCCAACCACGTCGCTTATTACTAGATCTGGAGTCAGCAACAACCTTCTCTGACAAGGGGATAGTAATTAATAGGTGAAGCTTCAAATATTTTACACTTGGAAAATCACAAGACGTGACTTGCCATCAGTCTGGGTGTTGCAAGTAGCTAAATCATGGAAAGGAAAAAGATATGGATATGACTGGCCAAATGGCCTCCCCTGAGAGGTAATTCTTCTATCCTCCTAATACAAATAACTTCATTCTGACTGAAAGTGAGGTTGATGCTCATTCCTACAGATTCTGTCAGGCCCATTTCTCAGGATCTTGCCTCTTTGGCTCAGTAAGGAGTATTCTGCTCCCCAGCAAATCTTACTGTCTGTGTGTCGGGAGACAGTTTCAATCCTGCCATTTTCCCTGCTCCCCCATAGATGGGAACCATCTTCCATCTGTATGTAACCCTGTCAGAATGAAATTTCTCTCTAGAAATTTGAAATAAATCAATGAAGTTGCAGTCCTTGAAATATGAGGACCTCTGGGATGTTCGGTAGTGGAATGCCCCACTTTGGGAGCAGACGCGGAGGAGGTGGAGGAATTGGGAGTAGGGGATTGCATTCTTGCAGGAAGTTGGGTGAGAGGAGGTAGTGCCTAGGTAGCTGTGGGAGTCGGTGTGCTTGAAATAGACTGAAATAGATAGTTTTTACTATTTCCAAGTGACTGTAAGGCCGGAATGACAAGGAAACTGCGCAATGTGTCAGCTTAGGGTACTTGGTGGCCTTGTGATTTGTGCGCAGGAGTCTGTGGGCTCATTCTCCCATTGAATAGACTTGAATGCAAACCCAAGATTGACTTCAGTACATGATTGAGAGAGTGCTGCACTGCTAGCAGCAGTCTAGAAGTGCATGTTCAATCTGTCACATTGGTGTACCTCATGCTATTTTAAAAGAGAGATAGAAGTTCTGTTTAGTTCCCTCATTGAAATGTCTCTCTCAACCAACATCACTAATCCAATTTATCTGGTCATCATTACATGGCTGTCTGTCGGTCACTCCTATGTGTAAATTGGCTTCTAGATTCCCAACATTACAGTATACTGTAGTGAACAGTGAAGAAGGTTATCTCAGCGTATATTGATCACATGGGCCAATGGGCCGTGGAGTAGCAGATGGAGTTTAATTTAGAGAAATGTGAGGTCCAACATTTTGGTAGGGAAAATCAGGGCAGGACTTATACACTTAATGGTAAGGCCCTAGGGAGTGTTGCCAAACAAACAGACTTAGGGGTACAGGTTCATAGTTCCTTGTAAGTGGAGTCACAGGTAGACAGGTTAGGAAGGCATTTGGAATGCTTGCCTTTATTGGTCAGTGCATTGAGTATAGGAGTTCGGAGGTCATGTTACAGCCGTACAGGACACCAGTGAGGCTACTTTTGGAATAATGCATTCAATTCTAGACTTCCTGCTGCAGGAAAGACATTGTTAAACTTAAAAGGTTCAGAAAAGATTTACAAGGTCCAGACCTGAAACGTCAGCTTTCCTGCTCCTCTGATGCTGCTTGGCCTGCTGTGTTCATCCAGCTCTACACCTTGTTATATTTTACAAGGATGTTGCCAGGGTTGGAGGGTTTGAGCTATGCAGAGAGAACAATGAGGCTGGGGCTATTCTCCCTGGAGCATTGGAGGCTGAGGGTTGACCTTATAGAGGTTTATAAAATCATGAGGGGCATGGATAGGGTGGTCCTGACCCAAAATATCAACTTTCCTGCTCCTGTGATGCTGCTTGGCCTGCTGTGTTCATCCAGCTCCACACTGTGTTGTCTCTGACTCTAGCATCTGCAGTTCTTACTATCTCTGGGTGAATAGCCAATGTCTTTTACCAAGGGTAGGGGAGAAGGCGTTCAAAACTAGAGGGCCTATGTTTAAGGCAAGAGGGGAAAGGTTTAAAAGGGATCCGAGGGGTAACGTTTTCACGTAGATGGTGGGTGTATGTATGGAATGAACTGCCAGAGGAGGTGGTGAAAGTGGGTACAATTACAACATTTAAAAGGCACAGGAAGGGTTTAGGGGGAAATGGCTGAAAAGCTGGCAAAAGGGACTAAATTAATTTAGGATATGTGACCGGCATAGACGAGTTGGACTGAAGGGTCTGTTTCTGTGCTGTATGATTGTATGACCTCAAAAGTACTCCATTGACTTTGAAGCACTTTGGGACATCCTGAGGCAGGAAAATATGTCTTTCTTTGTTTCTCTTTCCTCCGACATGAAAGATTTGACCGGAGTTAAGTAATCGGATTAAGCAGAAATGTGGAAATGCAGCCTTACACAATGGTACTTGCCTCTTTGCTGTGCCATCAGTGGCTGTCCAGGTGATGGGAGGTACTTGCTGCTCCAGTTTAAGCTCTCAAGGTTGGCAAAGAGAAGTGGTCCCAGAGCTCCAGCGACCTGGTTGAAGTGCTCCAAAGGCATCGAACACAACTGCTCACCCGTAACGTCGAAGTCTTGAAAGCGAATACAATTGCCATCCAACTGGTTGGTGTCCAGTGTGTGTTGGAGCCACTCCCACACTTGGTACTTGGACCAGAGGTGTGGGTGAGTGTGATGCCATGAACTTCCACTGTACCCACCTGAAACTGGAGGGTACAAGCACATGGTGAACATTGATGTCACAAAGACAGAACTTCCTAGGTGTTGCTGAGGCTCGGTGAGGAGGCAGAACCCAGGGTAAAGTTGTGAAGGACCAAGACTGTTTAGACATCTGATACATTCCAATCTGCAAATGATGTTGCTAAAGCTGGAGTCAATGGGACAGGGCTTACCTTCACAGTAACTGCTTAGGGTCATGTTGGGCCAACTGAGGTACGTTCAATGGTGCCATTAGGATCTTCTGTTGAGGCTACAGCCTGGTCCTTATCGATAAGGGTGTCTTCTCACTCACCCCAGATAGAATGTCATTGAATAATAGAATCCCTACAGTCTGGATAGAGGCTATTTGGCACATTGAGTCCGCACCGACCCTCTAACCAGCATCCCACCCAGACCCAGTCCCCTACCCTATCCCTGTAACATTTCCCATGGCTAACCCACCTAGCCTGCACATCCCTGCACACTATGGGACAATGTAGAATGGCCAATCCACCATGTTTGGACGTGGACGTTACATTGAATGTGACGGCCATATTCACAGGGCCCTCCCTCCACAACGCCAGCCCAGCAGTTGTAGCAAGACCTGGCCCTTAATTGAAACTCCTTCCAGTGCTGCAGACAGTACCTCTATTTTGAGGAGGCCTGCCTGCCTCATTAGCACCTACTTAGCATTGATTTGAGTCCTCCATTTGGAAATCTAGCATTTCTGGGCCACCTCCCCATTCTTAGTTGGATGGGATCTCTGGAGGGCACTTCTGAGTTGACCACCTATGAGGATGGGGGGGTAGATTGCAATGGAAATCCTGCCATTGCCTTGTCTGGGTCCTGGCCATGAGTACCATGACCCAGTTGGGCCCAATCCAGTGCACCTCCTGTTGTTGTGTAAGTCATGGTTTGGAGTGGAGCATACTTCACCTCAGGGTTTGAAGGCTGTGGGTTCAGGGACCAGAGGATAACATTTAAGCTCACTCTGTCACTGCAGTGTCTTTTAGGTGAGATATTAAACTGAGATCCTGTCTGCCTACTGGGTGCATGTAAAGATCCCATGTTATTATTTTTAAAATTGTGACTTATAGCTGTTCTATTGGTGAAAATCAATCCATCAGTTGACACCATTGAAAACAAATGATTTGAAATGTAAGATACACAGAAGCCAATCTGTGCACAGCAAGTGTGAATACACTTCAAAACGAACTTTGTTACAGAGAAAGTAGGAACTAACGATGCTGGAGCATCTGAGATAACAAGGTGTAGAGCTGGATGAACACAGCAGGCCAAGCAGCATCAGAGGAGCAGGAAGGCTGATGTTTCGGGTCTAGGCCCGAAACATCAGC